TCCAAAGTGCTTGCGTAGAAACCTTGTTTCCACAAGAAGCGGAGCTCAGAATATTTGAAGTCCACCACATGCACATGCATAAGTTCAAGTTGGCGGCGGGGGTCATCAACCTTTCAAGTAGCAAGGGACTATGGAAGGGAGCAGTGGCATCCCTAAACCACTCCCGCTCTCCTACATCTATGTAAGTATAGCTACCCGTCCAAACCCTCATCTTGTTTGCATCTTGTAGCATCGTGTAGACCATGAACCAATATTATTTACCGTGGTAACCACTTGTCGAGTGGGCGCGTCGCATCGCGCGACGATACGTGTGCGACAAGGGATGTGCATGATGGAGTTCAACTCGTCGCGCTCTCTTCTCATCATGACCCGGGGAGCCAAGATCAATTTAAATTTGAGCGCGACACGCGTCGGCATCTAGGAATTTAACTCCGACATGGGGTTCCTCAAAATAACCCATCGACTGATGGAAGGGGGATTTCTACCAAATGCAGAAGAAACCCAGGTACGGTTGGCGATCAGGAGCAGGTCTATCTTTTCTTCTCTTCGAACTAAATTTAGCATGCTGGGGTCCTACTTTGTGAGGCCTTGCGTGATGTGACACAGATATACATTATTACCCTAGGAACTTGTGGTCGTGGTAAACTCTGAAAATAAATCGAGCTTGCCAGGATTACACTGAAGTAATAGTGTCTGGCCCATTTTACTCCAAAATAACCTGGCAATGTTATTGTATGCCTCAAAGGCAAGGGAAAGTGGTCACCATTTATAAGGTGAAAAAATGTATTTTGACATACCTGACAGGGACAATAATAGGAAGTTCATCACTGACCCGGAATCGAACACGCGGCTACAGGAATCAGGCGCACCTCACGTTACACACAGAAGGCAGCCCGTTAGACCGTTACACCACATGGAATTATTATATACCAGGGCACGGTTTGTAGTCATACCCTTGAAGCAGCTGACGGTAATAAACACTCGCGTGAACGCAATGTCCATGCAACCCCGCTACTGTCTAATATTTCAAACCACCATCTATTCTACGGAATTCCGAACACCGAAAATAATCAATGCCAC